ATTTTTCTTTTTTTTTTTTTTGCAAATCAGAAAAAAAACGAAGAGGCGAATCCGGGAACCAACAAATTAAACTGGTGTGGCCTTATGTAAAAGAAAAGGCTTTGTGTAGCTAGGAAAAATCCCAGTCACTCTGCCTACCCTCCCGATCACACTAGCCTGTCGTAAAGCCTGGCCTCGCTACTCCCATAAATATAATGACATAAACCGACATGGATAAAATTTCCCCCTCTGACAAAAGCAATTTGTGAGTTTAACAGGGAAGGAACAGTTACAGCCTCGACCATCAAAACTAGCCCCTACACAAGCCGGCACGTTAGGCCACACCAATTTAATTTGTTGGTTCTCGGACTCACCTTTTCATTTTTTTTTTGATAAGCAAAAAAGAAGACTTCTGGTTCTGAATCAACTAAAAAATGCTCATATTTTGCCCCTACATTTGAGAAAAGTCCTTTTCTTCCTAGTTGTTACAGTTTTGCCATCTATAAATGCAGTGCCTTTTCTGTATTGACTTCATGGCTCCTATCGTAGCATTTGGGGCCATAATGGAATGCCTAGACCTGTTTTTATTTTTTCCTCCTGTCACTTCATATTTTTCTGAAAAAATCCGAGAACCAACAACTTAAATTGGTGTGGCCTTATATAACCACACGGCACACATGAGTCACTCATTATGAAGCTTACATGACAGTGGATCCGGACTGGCTTAGGCTGCATCATACGAACACTGCCCAACAATGAAAACATATCCTCTGTGATGACCTCTATTTAAATATTAAACAATCAGTACCTATACATCCTGTAGCACAGAGGAGCTGGACTTATTTTGTCTGAACGACTATCTAGATGTTTACTCTGATTGTTTTACTTGATTAGATTTTTATTTGTACACGAGATTGTTTATGTGGTTCTCTTCTTATCCTTACTGTCTTATTTTCGTTGGTGCTAGTTCTATTTGTACTTACAATTTACATGCAAGGAGGCCGAATGCGAAACTACTTTTGCCCAATTCTTAAGAATATATGTGAATAAATCAGTGTTAGAAATACCCATCTGCATTTAATTCTAGATTTACAATACTGCAGAAGGAAAATCCTACAATCTGTAATTTTGTATTACTAAGTTGAGAAGGTTGTAGTATTTTGTAGGCTTGTGTATTTTGAAGAAAGTGTTTCCAAATTCCACAACAAAATTTTGACTCAACTGCAATTTTGCAGAACGTTGAAAGAAACGTATTTCTACCACTGAAATGAACTCATCTCAATGTTTCATGTTGTAAAGGAGGCAGAACTATCAGCTGTAGGTTCCAGGTTTGGACTATTTTATAGGATGAGTAGAGAAATAATTGCCCACTGATCCACACCAGACAGTAGGTAAACAATGGGAACTACAGTGCTCACCAACTATTTGCATCACTGATATTGGCATAAACCTGGGATCTGCATAAAATTCTGAAAACCCAAACCATTTCCCATTCACTACATTATAAATTGCATGGCATAATTGCATGAGCTGTTATGACTTTAACCTGATATTGGACTAAAATATTTCCAAGTCAATGGCACACTGACCCAGAAGTACGTGAAAGAAATACATGTAATTTGTTGCGCATCAGCAAATCCGCATGAAGTCCATTGTTATTCATTCATTATCACCCCTGCACCCTCCATTGTCATACACTTTCTCTGTTGTCACTTCCTTCTGGACAGGTGAGAACTCCCAATCACTCAATGATGATTGTGTGAAGAAGTCCTTTGTTCCTTTTTGGTGTCCTTGATTGGGCT